GTGTTTCTGTAGTACAGAGGAAAAACAGGTAATAAAAGCAGAGAAAAACTGGCCACAGTTAATTGCAAGGTGCAAGTTTTCATAAAGCTGTTTGAAGTTCAGGGAAACCATGGATGGTATTTTATAATGACCAGAAAATGATGGGAGATTGCCTAACAAGGCAACAGGAACCCCACCTCTTCCACAGCTGTGTAAGATACAGTCACAAAGTGTACAGGAGAAACCATGGCTGCTTATGGCCACATGGCTCCTAGACCAGCCTTGGGCTCACCAGTAGATCATTGCAAGAGCAGCACAGCACTAAACATGTCTGCTCTTCCTGCTGGGAAGAAGCGTGACCAGCATATCAAGGGAGGTGATTCTGCCCCTCTTCTCTGCTCTCGTGAGACCCCACCTGGAGTACCGCATCCAGTTCTGGAGTCCCCAGCACAAGGAGGGCATGGAGTTGTTGGTGCAGGTCCAGCGGTGGGCCACAGAGATGATCTGAGGGCTGGAGCACATCCCCTATGAGGACAGGCTGAGAGCTGTGGCTCTTCTCTGGAGCAGGCTTTGGGGGGACGTTATAGTGGCCTTTCAGTACTTGAAGGCAGCTTACAGGAAAGCTGGGGAGGGGCTTTTTGTAAGGGCACGTAGCGACAGAGGGAAAATGGTTTTAAGATAGAAGAGGCAGATTTAGACTAGATATTAGGAAGAAATTCTTTACTGAGAGAGTGGTGAGACTTTGGAACAGATTGCCCAGAGTGGTTGTAGATGCTCCCACCCTGGAAGTGTTCAAAGCCAGGCTAGATGGGGCTTTGAACAACCTGATCTATTAGGAGTTGTCCCTGCCTATAGCAGGGGATAGAACTGGATGATCTTAAAGGCCCTTTCCAATCCAAAGCATTCTGTGATTCTACATTTCTATGATAGTCTGTCTTTAATCAGCCATCAACAACAACTTCATTGAAAAAAAAGAGAATATATGTATATATCTTGCTTCTTTTCTCAAAACTATACTTGCCTGCAGCTTTCAAAGTGCAAAAGATAAATCTTTTTTCCAAATAGCAGTTGAAACATACATGAAACAGGAAAACTAACTAGCAAAATGCCACATAAATAGAAAGGCGACAAGGTCTACTGCATCTAGTTGAATGGACAGCTGTTAGAGCAATATTCAGAACATTAAAAAAAGCTAGGTGTGGTGACACTGAAAACTGCAAAAGAAAAAAAGCGTATTCCTTAAAGTGTAGCTCTCAATGTCTCTGCATATTTACGCACAGCTGTTAACAGTTTGCCACTCTAAGAACAAGGCTCCACATCTGATCGATACAGTGTAATCCAAGCTGAAGTTCTGGCCGCAAACTAGAAGGCGTAGCACACTGATCAGTGAGTTTCACAAAGAAAGTTTGTGACAGAGTGTAAAATATGCATTTTGGTGATTAAGCTGCTTAATTATATGGAATCTGTTTTAGTGAATTTATAAATAGATTTCCATCAGCTTTTCTCATTTCTGTGCTCCTGACAACATCAGTACATCTACAGCTTTTTGCTCCAGTCTTCAGTCCTTAGAAGAACATACAAAAGACAGCAGTTTGGTGTGATTGGAAAAAAAAGATGCATTCATGGATTCAATTTTCAATTCTCTTTTACCACCTCAAACGTAGCATTTCTCTTCTGGAAAGGAATATGAAAAAAACCTGCTTCTTTCCTTCTAAATATGGAAAAGTATTCAAACATTTGTTCTTCTTGATCAAAACGTAAGCAATGTAAATAGCAGTAACAATCAGCCCTACTAATCTCCTAATGTATAGACATACAGATACACTTTTGCAAGGGAGTGGGGTTTTTTTGCATGCCCTTCCCTCTCTTCCTCAGTAGCTCTATATCCTAAACATTTTCTTTAGCACTCCTAGTAATCTCACTGGCCTACCTACGTAAGCTCAGAGACACAAAGAAAGTGTAAAGAAAACACAAGGAAATGGAAGGAGTGCAGAACTATAACCCTCTATACTTTCGCTGATGCTTCATTCCCCAACCAAGAGCTGACCAGCTCACGGACACTGCAATACTCATCAACAGGCTACAGATACATTCTTGCTGACATGAAACTATGGTTATGCTGATTGGTCCGCTTCACTTCCACAAGTAGGCTTGAAACATGTCAGGCTTATGCCAGAATGGGGTGCAGCAGAGAAATGCAGCTTTCCGTTAAACTTTTTTTTCCATTTTGATGGCAGTGCAAGGATGAATATTCATTAGGTCTTCCATTCATGTCTTCTAGTTTGGTATTTATAAGCTATGATATGTGTGATTATACAAGAATTAAATCTTACTCTTTTAACAATTAACTAGACAGCCAGTTCTCATGGAGCAGCACTTTTCTCCCTGCATTACATGTTTTTAAGAAGTGAAATCATAATCGTCTTCCTCTCTTACCTATCAGCAGCATAATTATTCACATTGCAGTGCCTTTATATCCAAAAACTGTTTCCAAAGTGAAGGCATAGATCTTGTTAACACTTTGGTGAAGTGCTTCTATCCTAATAGAAGATGTAAACTTGTAATGTTACAGCAGGTTAATGCCAGCAGCTCTACTACAAAGTTTCATTTAATAGAGAAAGAATTCCACTATAATATAAGAATGTGGATCTATGTAAAATATTAGATAATGAAATGGGTTTTTTTCAGAAATTACTGAGATCATTAAGTAGCTAAGTCTGGAAATCGTGTTACACTTGCACATTATTCTTAAGGATTTTGCATACAAACAACTTGACTGTAACTGTTATTACAACATAAGGTAGATAACTTTCACCTGCATTCTGTATGCAGATTTTGTTTTTGTTTTTTTTTTTTAATCACAGAACCATAGGATCATAGAATCTTCTCAATTGGAAGACACCTTTAAAGGTCATCTGGTCCAACACCCCTGCAATGAACAGGGACACCTACAGCTCCACCAGGTTCTCAGAGCCCCATCCAACCTGATCTTGAGTGTCTACAGGGACAGGGCATCCACCACCTTCTGAGCAACCTGTCCCACTGCCTCACCACCTTTACTGTAAAAAACATTTCCCTTATACCCAATATAAGTGTATATAATTAACAAGTATACATACAAGTTAGGCTGGTCTTTAGAGAGCATATAACCAGAAAGATCATCACATTGGAGAGGGACAATCAAAAATGAATAGAAAAGCTTACCTATACGCTAAGCTCACAGAGAAAGAAGAGAGAGGAAAAAAAAAAACCACAAGAGAAGAAATCTCTTAGAAGAGATCCTATCTCAGTAGCAGTCAGCCCTTAAATGGGATCTAGGAGAGGTGTAACCAGGCTCCACACTTCCAGTCACACAGGTGAACTGCTTTCACCTGTGCTCCTGCAGCTGACTCAGTGCTTGCCTCAGGTGATCCATCAGGGGTTCAGGCCATAATTCAATAGTTCCCATACAAAGCTCTTGTTTGTATAAACTGAAAGTATTTAAGTGGATTTACTGTGGTATGAGTCATCCTAATGAAATACAAATTAAATGCTGCATCAGAATCCATCTATTTGGACAATCAAAATGGAGTGTTTACTGTGATGGAAGGACTCTGATGGGAATCCTAACGAGACAACTCCTCCTCACCTCTGATCTCTCCATTCACATTATTGGTTCACTGCCATTGTTTTGGCTTCAGCAGCCACCCTCCGAGCTGTCCCTTACCTTAGTACTGTTCTGCCATTTCTTGACATTCCCCTCCTCTACACCTTTTCCACTAGGCTCCTTCCATAGAGTGGCAACATATACTTGCAATATGCATGTGTGTGTGTTTGTGTATACATATGCCTTTTTTTTTTTTTTTTCAAAAATATTACTTATATTCTATGCACATTTTTGTATGTGATAAATAGACTCAGATTTTTATATGAAGAGTTTCATCCTAATTCTCTGGTTGCTACTAAAAGAGCTGCTGGATACTTCATTTATAAACAATCTTTCCCCATTTTGCTCAGTCTAAAAATACAGCCAATGTTGCTGCACTGATCATCAGAAATACTTCTAAAACTTTTCCTATTACAGAACCATATTACATTGCTAGTGTATTTTAAAATGTCATTAGAAACGACTCAGATGCAGAATTAATTGTGATGAGTTTTTTTTTCCCCTGATTCCTACATTTAAAGAACCATTGCACCTCCTGCATATTTAATGAAGATCTTCCTAAACCAAGTATGAAGTGCCAAGACAGGAGACTGTGGAGGCGGTTGTGCTGCCCTGCTGTGCTGGCATATACATGCACACAGCATCCTATCCTGCACGGGTGTGATGGATGGCTGTGGATGAGCTCTGTGTCTGAAGGTGCTCCCTGCCATCACATCGCTCCCTTTTTGCCAAGAGCATCTACCTACACTTCTATTTCACCATTCACCCTGTGACGCCTGCTTCCATTCCACTGCTCTCCATCCTAGATGGGTGTAATTGCAGAAGCGAACGCAAGCAGTGACTGTGAGCTTCTCGAGGGAGAAGTTTAAGCCTTTTGTAACCGAAGCCAAAGTTTATTCTGCAGCTGCCAACACCCGTGAAATCACATGTAAACACGTACATACGGCCACGGAGAGCTGACAAGCGGGCAAAGCTCGGGCCCTGAGGGACGACCTGGAGGCCCGGGGTCGTCCCGCAAAGCCCGGAGACGCGGAGGACCAAGCAGCCGAGCCCGAGAGCCGCCCGGCTGTACCGAGCAGCGCGGGAAGGCGCTGCGCCTGACAGCCGAAAACTTCGGTACCCGCCGCCAGCAACCCCCGCCCGCTCCCCACCTGCCGCCCCGGCGCCGCCTGGATCTGCCCCGCCGCGGGCTACCCCCTATCGGCCGGCACCGCCCCTCCGGGCCCCGCTCCGCAGAGGAGCTCCGGGGCGAGCGCGGAGCCCCGCAGCCCCGCGGGGGCCGCCTGAGGCGAGGCCGAACCGGGCCGCCCCCTCGCTCCGCTCCGTTCCGTTCCGCGCCGGCCGGGCCGCGCCCCACGCCCCGCTGCAGCAGGCGTCCCCCCGCGGTGATTATACGCTGCCGCCCGGGGGAAGCGGCCGCTGCCGGGAAGATGGCGAGCCTCCGCCTGCTGCTCCTCGGGTACTTGGGGGTCCTCTGCTGTAAGTTGCCGCGCCTCCTCCTTGGGAGCACGTTCGTGCCGCGTCTGTCCGTGTGCATATGTGGGTGTGCGCATATAGCTGTCGTCGCCTCAGGGAGCGCTCCGCAGCCCCCGGGCAGCCTGCTGTGCTCGGGCTGCGCGGGTCGCGGAGGCGGGCGGAGGGTGGGAGCTGCCCTGCGGGCAGCAGGGGGCGCCGCGGGGGGCCCGGCTGGGGCGCGGGTCCCTGCTGCGTCCCTGGGGACAGCGACCGCGGGGCGGGCGCGGATGAGAGTTGCTCCAGCCTCAAGGCGAGCTGGCCGCTCTCTGCGGCGTTGCGAGTGTTAGGATGCGGGCTGCGCCGCGTGCCCTCCGGGTGGGTCCAAAGAGGTGAACGAGCAAGTTCCAGAAATGTGCTTTCTGCGGGTAACCCAGAGCGGATTGATGTTTCCAACGTGTCTATGGTCCTGTTGTCTGACTCGTTGAAAAACCAGATGGAGAGAGGTGAAGTTGGTAAAAGCTGCCCCACCCGGAAAGCACATGGACATGAGTGAAAGCAGAGTGCGGGGCCGCGTAGCTGCAGAGAAGCAGTGAATGAATATGCAGTGTTCCTAGCGTCAGTCCTCTGAAAGCTTGTGCTTTTGGATCACATCTGACTGTGCTCTTATACACTCTGTGTCTCACTGCTGCCTTTGGGAAAGAGGCAATATGTGGAAAGGATGCCCTGAAAAAAAACTGTGCAGCTCGTGTTATCTTGCTAACAAAGTGAGAACCTGAGACCTGACTGTTTCAGCTGCTCAGTAGGGCACTCTTGCATTTAACTTTCATTCCTCCTCACCTAACAGAAATTTGTGTGTGCAAGATCTTTTTTTGGAGGAGGGCAGACTCAAAGTAACATGCACTCTGCTAGTTCTTTAGCTTGGTGGCTATTTTTCTTTTCCTCTGTCTTCACTGAACTGTGTTCAGTTTTGGGACTCTTGCTACAAGAAGGAGCATGCCCAGAAAAGAGCAAAAGAGCTGTGAGGGGGCTGGAGCGCAAGTCTGATGGGAAGCAGCTGAGGGAGCTGGGTTTTTTCAGTTGGAGGAGGCTCAGAGGAAATCTCATTGCTCTCTGCAACCATCTGAGAGGAGGCTGTGGCGAGGTGGGGATCAGCCTCATCTCCCGGGTAACAGAGATAGCATGAGAGGGAATGGTCTCAAGTTGCACCACGAGAGGTTCAGGTTGGATGTTAGGAAAAAATTGTTCTCAGGAGTGGTGAGGCAGTGGCTCAGGCTGCCCACAGTGGTGGTGGAGTCATCATCCTCGGAGATGTTCGAGGACTGTGTGGATGTGGTACTGAAGGACATGGTCAGTAGGCACAGTGACAGTTGGACTTGATCATCTTTTCATACCTTAATGATTAGTAATGTTCTGAAAGGGCAGATCTTTAAGTGATTTACACTATGCTTGTTCTCTGGTTTGGTAGCAGTTTTCCTTTGTCTTTACCTGTACAAGACCTTATAAAAACCTGGGTTGTTAGGTGGGTGGCTGATGTAGATTTCCTCTACCACACAGTGAATTAGAAAAAAATAAAATAAAAAAATTTAAAAAAAATTAAGTGTTCTTTGATCTTTTTCTTCATTTGTTGTTAGTTTCATGGGTATATCTAATCAAATAAGGCTGCTGTGGGTGTTTTATTTATTTAGTGAGTGAGTGGTCTCAGCACTTGCAGGCTGCTCATTGTTGGGTTTTGTGTGTTGATACTGCTGGCTTTGGTCAGCATGGAAATGCCACAGAGTGATTTAAAAGCAGTACACTAAGTCTGGTGGCTGAATTGTTGGCAGACACTTATTTTTCTCTCTTCCTGTCACTGTTCCCCCCAAAAAATGCCTGGTAGAGAGGGCTCAGTTTACCAACAATGTGGTGATACAGAGTTTTTGCATGAAGAAAGTGGCTGCAGGTGGGTGTGCAAATGCTGATTGTTTCTGTGAGCTGGAGGAAATCCAGGCAGAAAAAGCTATTGGGAGTCTGCTGCTGCTCCTAGGGCTGTAGCACGCTCACGCTAACAATAAGTCTGAGTAATGCTGGCATTCATGTCAGGTGTATGTGTTGAGTCATTTCTAGTGTGGGTCTGGATCCCAACATGTTGCAGAGATAGCAGGGAATGGGCAAAAGCTAATGAGGAAAAGAAAGAACTAGGTTAATACTGAAAGAGTGTGAGGGTTGTTGTGGAGCAGCAGAAGAGAACTTGCTTGGTGATTCAGCTGCAGGAGTTAAGGGCTGGATAAATTGGTCATAGGAAGTCAGCATAGCCGAGAACAGTGCTGAGGTCTTTTCAGCGAGAGCATACTAAGAAATGCTAATGACCCATAGAAGGAGTGGTTGCTCTCAGTTAAAGCCTCTCTTATCTTTAATTTAGGGGAAAGTAGGGGAGTTGGAGACCGTCAGTCATACGGTCTCAGTCTGCAGGAACTCCATAAACTGATGCTGCCTGTGAGTGTTTTCAAAGGTGAGCAGGCTAAGATTTGTGAGCTCTCTTGGTATGAGTTAGAAAATGTGCAGAAATAGTTGCTATGAATAGTCACAGCAGCTGCTGGGGAGGTGGTACGTACTGATGAACTGGCTCTTCTGAGGAACTTCCAGGTGTGATTTTTATTTTTATTTTTTAAATTTCTTTGCATTACTGTAAGCTAGAATTAAAATTTTAGCTGGTGATGCTGAAAACAAATGCAGTGTGATGTGTCGGGGCAAGGACAATGCGGTGGCAATAAATAGCAATCTTACATAAACATCTCATGGAGCCCTCTGGGGTAGTTTGGTTCAGCAATAAATAAGGTGAGGATGTGATTTTTTTTCTTACTGGCTTTAAAACAAACACTGCTTAGTGCTTGGGAATCTTTCAGACAGATACATAGATTCTAAGTCAAAAAAAGTCACGTCTCCATCCCTTGAAGAACGCAGAGAGCATGACTGCATTAGCTGTACAAAATAGCATTGTGCTTGGAAGTCTTTAAATTGTGTTTTCCCTGTTACATATGATGATGTTCTCAAAGTTGACCCCCTGTCTTCTGTCAAGCCCTCTGTGTTTGCTGGATTAGCTTAATAAGGACCTATTTTGATTTCTAAATTAGAGTCCACTTTCAGGTGAGAAGGAACTTCTTAAATTTGCAAGGCTGTCTATTTCTCTGAAGTCAGTACAAATAACACTGAACCTGTCTGCCTTTTTACCTTTCTTGTTTGTTTGTTTTTTGGTTTGTTTTTTTGTTGTTGTTGTTTTTGTTGTCATGTTGTGGTGACACAGCATGACATACAGGAATTCTAGAAAGCTTAAGAATTCAGGATTGGGTTGGAAGACCTTCCTGCCTCTGCAAGAGAGACAGACTTCTCAATCTTATTACTTTCACAATTCAGACCCCTTGGTTAGATCTTCAGTGCTTAGGGGAAATTTTGCCTGTGAGCTTTATTGAAAAGTCTCACTATTTTCTAGATACTCATCTTTGAAGGGATCTCTGTTTCAGACGGACTCAGTCAGGAGCAGTGCCACTGTTTAGTAAGGGTTTGTCTCTCTTCTTTCTGCCAGCGGAGAGGAGATACAGGGAGCTGGTTCCTGGCTTGCTCTGTGGTATCCTTTCTTCTGATTACTACCCCTACAGCCTGCTTCTCAGTGTGCAAAAGGAAAAATGAAGATGACTGCTTTCCTTCATTGCCTACAGGAAGCATGAAATGCACCTGTACTATCACTGCAAGGCAGTCACAATTCCCTTTTTCTGTTTAGGGTGATTGTATTCAAGTTGGAACACTTGCTTTTACTATTTCTTGGCCTCCAAGGTCCTGTTCTCTCAGCTTTAGTGCTGCAGCTATTCTTTGTTCGTGTTACAGGGCATGTATTTCTGGTAATTGTGACTGCAGTAGGGCATATGGCATTGATAATGAGAGCTAAAATTACCACTGTTAATAGCAGATCTAATTGAGCCTGGATGAGGTCTCCTTGTTGGCTACTTAACTGAATTACACCAAGGTTGTTTTTGTTGGTTGTTCTTTCTGTTGTTGGTTATTTGTTTGTTTGTTTTTGTGATAATATTTGTATTTCCTGCTACAGACTATTTTGGCAGCAGCATGCTGGCAGCTGGATTCTGCTACAGAAATTGGCTGATGGTGTCATAAATGAGCAAGAACGTGGAAGTGCTCGAACTTTGACTTCGTATTTTCTCTTTAGATGATTGACTTAACGTTTGCGGGATCATTGGAATCATCTTTCACAACTTAGAGCTACCAAGCTTGTCTGAGGCCACTGTCTAAATCCAGATGTTACTGGGGAAGCACGTGTGCAAACCTGTTTCTAAGGAAGTGAGCTGAAGTTGTTAAAGACAGCCTTTACATATGGCTTCCTCAAAGGGTACCTCAAGTGCTGGTGGTCATGAGCAAGACAACTCTTTTTTAAGTATGGGAAAATCATCTTGCATGGCTAATGCACAGGAAAATCAGCTCTCATTCCATTTCACATGAGTAAATAGTAGTGATACTCTTTCACTAAAGATACAAGATGACATACATGTAAATCTTCTGCAGTAGCAGAAAGCAAGCTTCCCTTGATAGGTGGGGAGGTGAATCTTGAGGGCTGTCTGCATTTGGAGAATCAGTAACTAGTGACTTAACTCTGAAATTGAAATCTAAAAGTTTGTTACAATTCAGTTAGTTTCCATCAGCACTGTGAAATATCATCTTTCTCTCAGAGTGTTTTTAAAGATGATCTCTTTATAATTGATTCCCTACAACTGGCGTTCTCACTTAACAGTTCTCTCAGAGAAAGTCACATTTGGTGTCATGCTCTCTCCTAGCAATAATAGAGGTCAGTCCAGTGTAAAACTTACATAAAGGGAAGTTACTGAACATCCACTCAGCAATAAAATTGTTCTTATATCAAAACAATTAAGTCTGTATTTGCTTTTGCCGGGGCTATATAGAATGGTTGAATTAAGGTTTCCCTGAAGTTACAGACTAACATCAAGCAGAAGCACTTGTCACAGACTGTCTTACTGCTGTTT